AACCGGAGGACCCGGAGAGAAATTCACGCGACCACGGGAGGAGAGAACATGCAAGCTCCAAATATACAGGCGTCAGGGTCGGGATCAAACCCATGATTCCTGCATAATAGGCGAGGCAGTTAACATCTCGCCAACGTTCTTCATGTAAGACGGGTCAATAGTGCAACAGCTGACAGATTTGGCACAAGAAACGAAGCGGTGGCGAAGTGTTGTGCTATCAAACGCATTGGCAGTGTGATAACTCCTTCGTATCTATTACTTTGGTTGCTTTTCACAGCTCTCAAATACCGCTGCTCCAAGAAATCCACCGCTATCCAACACTGCACCCCAACATAGCCGCTGACACTTATAATTATTGAGCCCAGCTGGGCCTACATTGTTGGGTTTTTTCAGCGGCAATCAGGAGTCATTATTAGAGCTTTTAAAGTACAGCAGGGTTAGACAGTCCCCATTTATTCGTCTCCTTGGTGATGGTCGTAGTAGTTGTAGAATGTAAATTGTACGTAAGATGAGGGCCTCCCCACAGCGTGCTGGCCACGGTCGGTATATGACCACACTTCACTACGATGGTCAATGTGCGAGTTGGTGAATGTGGGGAGCGTAAACGCGGTAGCTTAGACGCAAAGTAGGACGGTTGATTTGTTCTGTATTGCCCCCCAGATAGCCCCGCAGGTAGCCCCGCAGAGAACCCCCCAGGTAGTCCCCCCAGGTAGCCCCCCCAGGTAGCCCCGCAGGGAGCCCCGCAGGGAACCCCGCAGGGAACCCCCCAGGTAGCCCCCCAGGTAGCCCCGCAGGGAACCCCCCAGGTAGCCCCCCAGGTAGCCCCCCCAGGTAGCCCAGCAGGTAGCCCCGCAGGTAGCCCCGCAGGAAACCCCGCAGAGAACCACCCAGGTAGCCCAGCAGGGAGCCACGCAGGAAACCCCCGCAGCCTGTCGCCACCCGTTGTGCAGGGTGGTCGCCCCTTCAAACGCATGGCTCAGGCCTGCTTAGCTTCCGTAATCTGAGATCGGTTGCAATTTGAGTCATTTGAACAGAGACAGAATTCGAACTCCCTTTGTTTGATCTCAATTGATCCATCACCGAATTGCAAATAACAATGAACGCTCGCGATGTGACATCGGCAAGGTAATAGGATTAATCTCGCTCATCACCACCGACTTAAAATTTGACTGCCGAACAAACCACTCTCAAATTCGCAGCCCCCAGTGCATCCGTCCCTACCTCTGACTGACTATACCTGGCTTACATGCGAAATAGACACCCGGGCGACGGTAAACCTAGAAAGCTGCGTAGGAATTGATTTGAGCATCAGGACCGGAGTGTTTGAAAGCCCTGGGTCCTTGCTCCATTTGTCCCAAGCTTTTTGAGGCCTCTCGGAATGCGGTTCTGCGTGTTTCCGAGACGAGTTTACACGGGACCCCCCCCCCCCCTGCTCCTCATTGGGCGGCGCCGGTCTTTGTTGCTCGAACTGAACTTGCAAGGGAAGGGCGAGGCTGGGATGCTCAACCGCGAGGACGCTCACAGCGGCGTGGGGGGCAGGGGGGGGGGCACTCCTCACGTGGCAGGGAGCGAAACGGCAAAATAAGAGGACCTAATTGTCACGGGCTTTCAACGTTACCGTAGCGGGGCCGACCCTCCCGGGACATGCCGATTTGCTTGATCTGCCGGTGAAGGGGCCACCCGTGGCCTCGGAGTAGAAAATCGAGACGCGCGGGGATTGATCGTGGGGGTTTGCGCGCAGAAAATTGAGGGCTTCCTTTTCAGAACAATCAGGGTAATTAGGAGAAGAAAGAGTACTTTATTTATAATCTCACATTATGCCAGAGTGCCGTTCTAGGAATAGCTTGGATATTTGCCAGATAAATATTTGTGGAAGTACTTTGCTGTGATTTGTCAAAAAATACATTTTTTTGGGCGCGGGGGTGGGGGGGGGGGGTAGACGCGACGGGACTTCGCGCATCAAACAAAAGAATCACACCGTGGTAAGGTCGCATTTGCCGGTGTTTAAAAAAAATGGTTTTATTTTTTTCCATAATGCTTCTTGGTTTAAATACGGAACAACAAAAAAATAGCGGGAGAAAACCACCAACGCAGAGAGCCAAACTTTTACACTTTTCCTGGACAACAACAAAAAGTATCATAAAGTATAACAGTCTTTTTTTTCCTTTGTTGTTTATTTGTTGCAGAAATACGGGGCAGTGGTGTACAAAAAACAGGTGTGCGTTTAATTTAAAAAGACGACGTCAAAAAAAATACAACGGCTTACGCAACGGATCGATGATAATCTGAGGAAAAGCAAAATAACCCCCTCCCCTGTTAATGATCATAAGCGCGCTTTCCACGGAGGGATACAGCCTTTTTTCTGGCATCGTCTAATGTCACTCGTAATCGCGTGAGATATTCACTGCGACACTTGTTGCCCTCGCAATGCCCCCTGGTGCACCCATGGGCATTGGCACCCCCCCTCATCCAACATCCAACAATCACTCTCAGTCACAAGGGCCGTTACAAAACATCAGTGGCTGGCCTGGTTTCCTTTATAAAATTGGAATCGAGGAGTCAAGCGGAGTCAAACTAAAGCCAACGACGATACGAGCGGGCATTGGGCTGCCTTTTATTTAAATAAAAAACTGCAAAAATGTTTGTATGGTCGCTCAAGAATTCCTTTTCAAAATGCTCTTTTTGTTGCGCGCCTACATGGATTGAGGAGCATGTGTTTTGTTTTAAACTCGGAGACCACTTCGGTTTTTTACGCCGCTCATTCCTCCGTGGCTAAAGTTAACCGTGAAATGGACCGTAAAGTAAATGTACAATTAACTTGAGACAAATATAAATGCATTGCCCTGCACCGACGTTTGAACCGTGTTCCCTTGGAACAATTAGATGGCAGAGTGCGATGAATCGCTGCTCTTCAATTGCTTTCTTGAGTTTTGGGTTGGCGTGCAATGTGGTTTTGTTATTGTTCACGAAGCGCGTACATATTGCAGTAAATCAGAGTCTCAGGCCTGAAGGAAGAATGGCACTGCTGGCATCTAGAAAGAATGCGGGCAAACGATGCTCTCATCCCAGGCGTCTTTCGCTGGGCTCACAATCGAAACCAAAATGAACGGCGATCGGCCTTCAAGAGCGTTGGCCATTCAAAATAATTACGATAATACAAAAACAGCATAAATGCCCTTAACACTATCATTTATGTAATATTTACAAGAAAACAGCACCTACATCATATAAATTAAGTACACAGACGAAGAATTATTACTCTACGGGCGGTGAAAATGTCTTAAAATAAGACAGTAGTGGGGCACCATACCTTTTTTTTTTTACAAAACTTGTTGTCTTGAAATGGTACAAATCTCAAACAAGCACATTCAATTTTTATATAAAGTTTGGGAATTATTACCGTGATGTATTTTTTTTGTCCATGAGTCTCAATATCTCTCCCCAAAATTAACGTATCCTTACTGCACATTAAACATCGGCATTCTTGCCTAAATTTGCCCTTGGCTACTCTCGTGTACTGCACGGGTATCGTGGTATGTTGCAAGGAACATATTTAAGTGCTTTGGCGTTTTGTTTCACATCCTTACTGTCGCGTTTTTCGACCGAGCGGAGCATCGGCGCACGGCAAAGAGGAGGAAGCACCTTGACAATGCGAAGAATTCTCCTCTTTGGCTTTTGAAGCGTCGCCTTCTGTTGAGCAGCGCTTTAAAGGCCAGGAGTGAGCAAAGAGGCCAACGTGAATTGCTTTCATGAACCAGAAACACAAAAAATATATATATAAAAACACCAGCAGCTTTCTCGTCCCCCTTTTCAACACACAATTTTTTTCGTGTCATTTTCTGTTTATTTTTCAATTATCTTCAATCGTCCCCCCCCTCCCCCCCCTTGTCTTGTTCTCCCTCCCTCCCTCTCTCTCTCTCTGGACCATTCACACAGCCCGTTCCGGGAAAGGACGAGGAAACAAAACATTTTGTAAACGCGGAGAGAAGCCTCGAGTGCGATTTTGAGCGATGGGGGGGGGGGAGAGAAATAAACGAAAGATAACATAAATGTGGGATGGCAGGTGCCCAGGGGTAGCTCCAGCGAAAGGAGCGCTCATCCCTAACAACAGAATCCTCAGCGTCGGTCACAGGCCCAGCCAGGGAGGCCTTCAGGCACGCGTAGAAACTGTTTTAAGGATTTATTTTCTATGTTTGGTTGGTGGTGGTGGGTGGGGGAGCGGTTAATTTTAATATATCTGTGCCACTTCCGCGCTTTTCTGCGGCACGACCACCAATCCGCACGCGTCTCTCTCTCTCAACCACTCTCTACCCCCAGCACCACCCTCCACCCCCCCCCAGGAGGGGCTTTGCGTGTCCTGCTGGAAAGCTCTGCCTCGAACGACATCGCCGTCAACCGTCCAGAGGAGCTCTTTAAAATGATAAAACGACGATGCCCTTGGGGCTTTTTTTCCTTTTGAGGCCCTCTCCGTTGCGTGACGCGCGCCATTCCTTTGGCAAGTAAAAGTTCGCCGAGTTTGTGCAATCAATTGCTGCTGACTTGAGTCTTTTCTGAGCAGCCGTGCCCTGTGGTGGGAGAGGAACAGCGGTGTTGAGGGGGCAGGGGGAAATTGTGGGGTGGAGGAGGAGGGGGGGGGGCCGCCACAGTTGCTTGTCCTGAAACAGGTCCTTTTGTCCTCGTAGCCCCAGCTAAGTGGCCTGGGTCTGCGTGACCAATTTGGCAGGGCGCCGGTAGACGCGGCTGGCGCGTGCCCCCTCCCCAGCCCCAGCCCCACGGCTCCCAACTCGTGGATACCACAACTTGTTGTTCGTGCCGTTGTCGGCGCTAGCTTCAGTTCTAATTGGGTTGCTTGTCGGGGGTGGGGGCAGGGGTGGGTCGTCATTGGTCTGGGCTGTTGTGCTTTGCACGAGGAGCGCTGTCGGTGGCGGTGCTGCTGCTGCTGTTTGTATTTTTGAAGGCTCGATGCAAGTGGGGAAATTGCTGACAAATTGTCTTTGGCATTGAGGCTGTGACTGCTGGATTGCGCTGCTGCTGCTGCTGTCGTCGTCGTCGCTGCTGCTGCTGTTGTCGCTGTTGTTTGTGGTGCAGCCATAAGTGCGATTATTATTCGTTTGTGGCTGGCTTGGCCACGATTTATCCGTTGACCCCGTTGGCACAGGTGCACTGGCACGCCTCGTGGTGCTCCAGGTGGACGTCCGTCAGGTTCTTGTGGAAGCTTCCTCTCCACGCCTTTATCTGCAAGACCTACGATGGCACCACCACCACGTGCACACACACACGCACGCAACACACATGGACACAGTTAAATATTCCTTCAAGAACAAGATGTCATCAAGACAAAAGCCGTTGATGCCACCACGCCTCACCAACATGTTCTACCCTCTGCCAGATGCCACAGCTGCCACACGGTAGCCACGTGGGCCTCTAACAGAGGTGTCACGTGTCTCGCCTCCTAGACCGCCGGAGTAATTAGAGAACATCAATTTAAGGCGCGTATCGCGCTCGAGGCGGTGACATTATTACGCCTGGCCACTGTTGTCTCGGCAGTCTTGACGTTTACACTCTGTCCAAGGTAATCGGCTAGGCCTGAGTAGACGACCTAGGGGAGGCCCATGACCGCTTCATACACCGTGATGTGCCACTGCTGTTATCCATGGCCGGCAATAATACTCAGGTGGCTGGATTTGTAGCACAGTTCACTTCCAACTGGGCCACTGCTCTCAATAACAACACAATACACGTATAAGCACACATACAAGCTCGCATACACACACATAAGCACGAACATAAATATCTGCTTTTAGCCTCTGCCGTTCGTGAGAACATTATTCCACTTTGGTCAGCACTGCACGCAAAGGTGGGGTCTGGCCAAAACAATTCACTCCCATTTACCTTTAGGCTGAGTTAACTTAGGAAAGTTAGGAAAGTTAAAGTTAACCTGGGCAAGTTATCCTGTGCAAGCTCCTGAGAATCTTCAGGACTCATGTTATACATATTTGTTGTTATTATTCGTTCAGGAATAATGTTATGCATAGCCAGGAATCGATTCTAGGATGGTGATACGGAAGAAGTTAACAGTAAACACTGAGCTACATCATCAAATCCCTTCTGTTTAGCCATCAAGGATGTGGTGAAAAGCGCTGTTAACGAGCACCTATCAAGGTTGACGTGGTACAGGGGGAAGTGTGTTGTGGCACGCGCCACGACAAACTGCCGATGCCTCCCTCGCGCTGACCTTCACGCGCTGCGCCAGATTCATTATCATAGAAGGCCGAGTGGGCCTAGGGCATGCTCCGGGCAGATGAAGGTGCCACTTTCCGTTTATGTTTGTCTATGGCCAGGAATCAAATTCGCAGCACAGGCATTGTAGGACGTAGCACGAGCTTATGCACCATCACTCATCACGCACACGCGTGCACTTGCACGCTCTCGTGCACACGCACGCACACACGCGTGCGCGCACATGAAATAACACCTTTGGTCACACTGTGTGCAGCGCTAAAACGACCTTAATCTAAAGCCTTCCCACACCAACTTTATTGACAGGAACAGATTAAATTTCTCCGTTTCATCTGCGCATGAGTTAGATATTAAATCTCCACCGTCTAGCCGCCTATTCCAATTCAGCATACTGCGGTGGAACAAATGTGGTTGGATGAAATATGTGAAACTGAAGTCTGCCCTCGAAATGTGTTTTCCAAAGAGGGTGCGTAGTAGGGTTTATTGTTTCTGCACGAACATTATGTTTTATGTGTGTGTGTGTGTCCGTGTGCATAGGGGACAGGAGTGCATTGCCGAATACGATTCATGACGGACACTGCCGCCCAAGTCTTGATTCGCAGCTACGGCCAACTTACGTGGCGCGTGACATCTGAACCGATCCCTGGGCCTTCCCCCCTAAGTCCGCTGAGTTTCAAATGAGTACCGGGCACAGCGTGGAAACATCAGCACTGGAGAGACAACGTTGGCTGGTGTGTTGTGGTCTGAATAACTCCCAGTACTTGCCTCGATAGCCAGCACAGCTGCGCGTGTGCGTGTGTGTGCGCGGTGTGTTTCACAATACGACCCTGGAGACCGAGGTTTTGATTCTTGGCCATGCGCAGTGTCAGGGGCACGTGGTTCCCGAATCATCCGGCCTACCTTCCCCCTGCTGGTGTCAGCTGAGTAGCTGATGCGGTGGTGTGGTCATCAGGAGCATTGAGTAAACAAAAGGTGTCTGGCTGTGCGTGGTGCAGGCCCACACACCGCTCATGCACGCACCATTCCAGCACTTATAGATGTTCACCAACAGCACTTGCCCCCAAGCTATCGAAACTGTTGCGTGTGGGGGGATAATACATTTCTGTATACAGAAGAGGGTTGCACAGTGCAATTTTGTGGACAGGATATTAAAGGTACACAGCGACCCACGTATGCCTCGTTTCGATCCAAAGACACTAACAAGACGCTCAAGTTTGACGCGGTAAGGTAATGCCGACGCTTGGTCGCTGTGACACTTTTAGCACCTTGGACCACAACAGATTTCGCTCGCCCCCGCACGAGGGTGTTTGCAGATTCCATGGGCTGGCGTCGAAGCAGCGGCGCTACAATACAGAGGGTAAATAATCGTTCTCTCGATGCCAATGAATGTACCCGCGAGGGATGATGCTTCCCTGGTGGAACGGTTGCCACACTGGACATTGCAACGAGGGAGGTCGCGGGTCTGATCTGCCGGCGTGCCGCTTGAAACAACTGGCCAAGTTTTCCTGAACCTCTCTGCCTCCGTCCTCTGCGCAGAGGTGTAAATAGGTTACCACCGCAGTTGATTTCCAAGTGGTGTGTGTGTGTGGTGGTAAATTGTGGGTTTTCCTGCTCTTTTTCGAAAACGTCTGGCCAGGTCTGGAGGAGAAGTAGGCCAACGAATATTCAAGAGGACCTTCTGCTAACAGTGACGTGGGAAAAAAAAATGCAGGGCCGCATCTGTAACGTTGACTATTCACCTAAGATAATAGGCTCGCTGAGTCTCGTTAGCTCTTTTTCATGCACGCCTGCATTTGTGATGTTGGGCCAAATTCATTTTTAAGTGTTTGGCATTTGGAATGAAACCAGAAAAGCTGGAGAAACCTACCGAGCGTGTGGGGGGAGGTAACATTTCATCTCGCCACACAGATGCATTCAATTATCCATTAGGGCAATGAGCTGGCCACCTTGTGTAGCTTTTTAAGAAGGATCACACAATTTCACATCGGTAGATTAGCTTTGTTATTCATTTATATTTTTTTATCCTCTTGTTTGTGATAGAACTGAAGGATGCTTACAGTTGAAACATTCCAGAGGAATATGGAAAAACCCCATCCTACCCTGCCTTGGCTCCCAGTGCCTTCCGCATGTGGAATAATCATTTGCAGGGGAGAGCGATAAATTTCTTTCCGTGAAGGCCAAAGGACGTGAGATGTGAACGAGTGATCCGAGTGGCAAGACACACAGAGCGCTCCTAGTTGACGATTTAAGCCTTGGGGGACATCGATGATGATGATGATGAACATGGACGATGATAATAAATCGACATCAATGATCAATCAATCAATGATAATGGATATCGATGATGATCATCATGGTCCAAGTTCAATGCACCTTAAGGGTACTAAGCAGTAGACTATGGCAGCTCCATCAAGGTGGCGTCATCGATGTCTGTGTCAGACAATGGACTTTCTCCACGGGAATTCACAGCTACTCAAACTTGATCGCGACACGGCCATTGTCTGCGATGCTTTGTCCCCGAGGCTCCAGTTTCTTGAGACTTTCTCCCACGCTCCTCACCCTCACCACCTATACAGCTCCTCACCCTCAACACCTATACAGCTCCTCACCCTCACCACCTATACAGCTCCTCACCCTCAACACCTATACAGCTCCACCTCTCACCAGCTGTAACAAGCTAATTGTTTAATCCTCAATCAGCGTATTTAATGTGTCGTGATGTTTGGCCAATGCTATAATCGGTTCAGGTGGTTATATTAATCTTACGCTTATAGCAGTGGCGTCAGTTCACTTTTGAAGTCGGCTGTTTGTTTGTTTTCAGGGATTTCCCCAAACAAATAATGTGACCACCCCCCCCCCCCCACAAAGTGCGCCACGTAAAAAAAATAGCCAATGTTTTCGGACAGTTTTATTGTGGTTGTGATTAGCTTGCTATAAATAACGCGTTAGAAACGAATTTAACAGCAAGTTGGAAGGGACTTGATTTGTATTGGCCCTGTCTCCCATTGCTCCAAACCTCTGCACCTTACCTACAGGCAAGCACTCGCAAACACACACAGGCAGATATTTGACAACATGTTTGTTCTCCTTTTCTCTTGCTCCCCACTCTCACCCCCTCCCTCCCCTCCCTCCGTCTCTCTTTTTTTTTCCATCAAATTATTTTTTTGCAGTTGCAGGGCTGCACATTCCGTTGCCTCTCGCGGTTATACAACAGGCAGCTGCGCGGCCGCTCCAGCACGCGCCTCGCATAGCTCTAACCCCACAGGTGATCGGCCCAACGAGGCCAAACGGCGCGCGCGACTTTTCCCATCAGACCGCCCCCCTCCCCCTACCCACCCAGCCACCCACCGCAAAATCCCACATCGCCACCGTCGGCTTTGATCAATCCGCTGTTGGACGACGGCGTCCTCAAGACTGTGTCGTAATCCCTGAATCCGACCATTTGCTAAGCAACCCCAAAACCTGCACGCGAGCCGATTCCGAAGATTTATCGCCCCCCGTTGGACGCCCTCTTGGACGCGTTCCCTCCGTTGGGATGCCACCGTCGTGTAGCCCTTGACCATCGCCCATCATCCCACGGAGCGGCGTGTCCTGACGAATCCCACTTTACTTCTCCTAACAGATTTGATCGGTTCCCAACCTTTTCTCGACCCCCGGAAAATAATTTGCGGGCCGTCGCAGAGTGCAAAATAATGTCGTTTTGCGCAGGGATGAAATGAAATCTGCCACAGTTCCACTCTCTGCTTCCCTCCCCACGGCACGGGAGGTCACCTGTGGGCGGCAGGCTGCAGGTTGTGAACCACTGCACGAAGTCGTGAGTTCCGCTCACCGGTCCATAATGACTTCATTTTGGGTTAAATCGTGTCGGTTTGTAATTTTTCAAATGTATTTATATTTAAATATACTTATTTGATAATGTGCGCTTTATCATCAATTATTTCGCACCACTGATTAACACGGTTGGCTACGCACCTTGCTAAAGAAGGTCAACATAGATATACATACATTAACATTTTTTTTTTATCCACATTATATCGACATTGTCTCACCCAGAGAAATTAGTTATGAATTATAATATCGGTCCTGAAAGACTGTATAAAATTGTTCCTCTTACCATGTCTTGGCATGTACTAAGCGTGCATTTCTCCATGTTTGCGTACGTGTCAGTGTTTGTTCCACATGTCAATCCGTGTGATTTGGCCATATGCCACGGTCAGCCTTTGTACCAATTGGAGTCACACGTGCACTTGAAAACACAAATTCGTGCAGCCGGCCCTTTCTCATCGCGTGCTTGTTATTTTAAATGTATCTTGTTTTTTTCCTCTTCTGTCTAAATCCGCACGCATCGGTGCCGGCTGGCCTTGACCAATTAGAGTTTCAGCTGTGGCTCTGCATGCAGCGGTTCTCTCCAGGGGTGTCTTATTTTGTTTTCCCGAGGCTTGTGAAATGACCCTAAATATTTGGCTGGGAACGGTTGGCTTTGTAACGCCAGTCCACTCTACAATGGATTAGTCGCGTGGAAGATAAGAGCTTAACATGAGGCCAGCCTTGACAGCAACATTCAACACGGCCCGGGGAAGCTGCACGGCGAGGAAAATCATTTTTGGATAATTCCTAGAACACTTGACCCTTAAATGCAGCAATTCTTAGAGAATGTTATATTTAAACTCGGCAGACACGCAAATATTTAAGGTTTCGGTTCGCTGCTGGATGAAGATCTCCCCAGTCCCTGTTCATGTTCGTCATGGGGGTAGTCGACCACACTTCACCACGATGGTCATTTTGGTGGTGGGGGGGGGGGTGTGGGGGTGCCCAAGACCGGCTCCGATATCACTTGCTACTGATGTTGGCCATGAAGGGGAATCCCACTTGGGTCACCAAGCGAGCAGCTCCGCCATGGTTTAGGATATAGTGAGGAAAATAACGCTTGGTGGTAAAGCGGCTTCCTGGCACGTAGGTTGCTGTACAACATAGGACAGCAAGCCCTATTCATGATAATTCATAAAATTCCTTGGGGGCAGGAGGTCGTGGGTTCGATCACAATGCTGACACCTGTATATTTGGAGTTTGCATGTCTCTCTGCCCATGGTCACGTGGATTTTCTCCAGGTTCTCCGGGTTGTCCCTCCACATTTGGACTCAACATCACGCGTTTAAGAGTATTTAGCTGTTATAAATGTCCACGTGATAAGCCACTTCGTTGAGCTATCATGTGTGGCCAGGTCGCTTCTGAAAAAGAGCCACATAGCTCAGTGGGCCTTACCTGGTAAAACAAATAATAATGTATCTTCTTGGTTCTTTCGATAAAGTCACATAGAATGAGAATGAAACAATAAAACAAAATAAGACAATAAAATTCTCACGACGTTTCGGCCACAACACAAGTAGCCTTCTTCAGGTGAAGGAACAATTGAAGCACTTCAATTGAAGCGCTGTCGTCCCGACAGTTCTGTTCCTTCACCTGAAGAAGGCTACTTTTGTCGTGGCCGAAACGTCGTGAAAATTTTATTGTCTTATTTTGTTTTATTGTTTCATTCTCATTCTACGTGACTTTACCGAAAGAACCAAGAAGATGAATCCTTGCAGTCACGAAAGCTTCAAATAGAAAAATAATAATGTAGTTTTCATTTAGTTTTACTATGTACGTAACAAGCATAATGTATCCGCGTGGCCAAACGCAGCTAAACAAACCGGTCATCTGCGCGTGCCCCTTCCCCCCCGACCCCTGCAACCTCAGGGCCCCCACATCCCCCCGCGCGCAGCTCCGCCGGGCGCCGGCGCTGGTTACCTCGTGCACCTTGCGTGCTGTGCGCGTGGCCTTGCAGCGGCACTGCGTGCAGTTGTGGGCACAGCAGGCGCAGTTCCCTCCGCAGCGGCGCACGAGCACGCAGCTCGGCCAGAAGACGGTGTCGGTGCGGCCCAGCTCCTCGCGCAGCGACACCGAGTGGTTGCGCGGCGTGCAGCTGTAGAGGCGCACCTCCTCCCGCAGGCGGTTCAGGTTGAGTTCCCCTGCGAGAGCAGTGGCCCGGCGTGGAGACGGTGTCAGTGCACGGCGGCCGGCGCACGTGCGCGTACCGTCGAACTTCTTTCGCCGCCGTACGTAGCCAACCGTGCTAACCGGAGGTGCCGGGGGAGAAGGACGACAAACTAAACGCGCGAAAATCAGTTCTAAAGAAGTTCGCTGCCAGCGTAGATTGAAAAGCGCACAACTCCAAGTGGCTTCCTAATCGCGGAAGGAAGAGCGTTCCGGACGGCCGCAAAAGCTCGCGCACGGCCGCTGGTTTGGTTGACAGACCATGGGTATGATTTACGTTTTGGTAAATTTCTCTGGGGTTTTTTTTTTAAAAGATGTATATTTTAAAAAAATAAGACAATTTTTTTGGGGGGGAGAGAAATATTTGCCGTGTTTCGGCCATTTCAGCGAGATGTAAATGTGGTTTAAAGTGCGAAATAAATCGCAGGTGACGTGTACCAATACGACAATCGCAAGTTTGCTAATTCACTCAGGCATTTGATTAGTCACACAGTGCCTTTGAATGTCTCATCTCCACGAGCAGTTGTGCACGTTGTCCATTCTGTCTCGAGTCGAGGTAAACTGAGGGCACCACCAAAGCTGTCCGGGTACTTAGAGATGCCTTTTTAATTTCTGCTAGTTTGGGTGCAACACACACAAAAATAAACCTCGTAATGGGCTGATGTCGGATTAAATGACGTTCTTGAAGGGAATAACGTATTCGGTATATAGTGGAGTGTATTATGATCACCGTAAGATTCCTAAAATGTAAATGTTTAAATTTGGTCCCCAAATTGTATGGCCCAGAGGTTTCTTGGTTTACTCCTCAGGCAGAGTCAGCCTGAAGGTCAAGTCTCGTGCTCAACACTCACAAATACACGATCCCTATCATCAGTGAGCCAAGCAATTTCCCTCCTATGGAGTGTGTGTCACCCTAAAGCTGACTGAAAGCAGACAAAAGTCCCTTTGCCAGTTACTAATGTGGCACTGGAATATGTTGCATGTAGGCCGCAAACAATTTGTGCCCGTCGATCGATTTTTAAGCCTCGTGAATGCAAACAACCGATAGCACGAAAAGCTTTTGCAGCCAATTAAAACCGTCAGCACAGATGCGGTCGGGTTTGGGATCAGAGCCAGTGTCGGGGGTGGGGAGGGGGGAGCCTCGGCACTCCACTGGAGCGGCGGGCACCAAACACTCTGTCACAAGTTGGATGATATCAGTAGGGGGTGTGGGGGGGGTGTGGGGGGTGTGGGGGGTGTGGGGGGGGGCAGCTTTGCCATCTTTACCGTTCCAGCGGCGGCCGTGTGCCGAGCTTCTCCCGCGAGCCTGCGGGACCGAGAAGGCCAGCCTGTCGAGCTCCACCTGCCACGACTCGGGCTCCAGGAACTTCACCATGTCCTCCAGCGTCTCGAACGCGGACAGCGTGTGCGAAAGCACCTCCATGGCGGAGCTCGCCAGCGGCGGGCCCAGGGTCCCCGGTGCCCCGGGCGCCGCCGAGCCCGCGGCGCCGGCCCCGCCGTGCGTGCCCAGGGAGTACGCGGGTGGCGGCAGGGAGCGCCTCCGCCTGGTGCCCCGGCACTCCGTGCCCGCGTCGCCCCGGGACGTGCGTCTCCGCACTTGGCGACGTCCCCACGGGAACCCTGCTCAGCGCCGTCTGTGGTTGCTGCTGTTGCGACTGGTGCGACTTGTGGTGGTGTTGATACTGCTGCTGGTGCTGCTGCTGCTCCCCCCCATCCTGGTGCGTGCTGGCAGAAACGGCCAGCTCCTTGGCTCGCGTTCCCACCGCCAGAGCGGCGTCGGCGCCGTGCTGCTTGCTGCCCAAGTGGGGCTTCTCCACCTCCAGCGTGCTCATGGGGTGCTTGGCCGCCTCCGCCGTGTGCTTGTCCCCGCCCGCGACGCTGCTGCCGGCGCCGAGCTTGCCATGCTCGTGCGCGTGCTTCTGGGCGTGCGCGTCGGCGAGGTGCTTGCTCACGTTCTGCAGGCCCGCGCCGCCGCCGGGCTGCCTGGCGCCCGCGGCGATGTGCTGACCGTCCCCGCCGTGAGTTCCCGGCGTACCCTCGGCCGGCCGATCCGCGACACGGTGCTGCGTCCCGCTTGCGAGCGTCGCCACGGGCAGCCTCGCCATCCCGTGCACCGGCATGCCAGCGCCGGTGCCAGCCGACTTCTCGGATTCTGAGCCGACGCCGCCGCTGACGCCGCCGCTGACGCCGCTCGCGTGCGTTCCCGCCGGGTGCCTGGCCCGGTACGTGTACGTGCTGTGGTGCGGCTGCGCGCCCGTGCTTTCTGGCGGCACTTCCGCCACCGCCGCCTTGTCGATGGCGGCGTGCGTGCCGGCGGCGTGCGTGCCCACGACCAGCCTCTGCCTCATCGACTGCGGCCCCACGCTTCCCAACGCGTCTTCTGGCTTGTCGGCGACGCGGTGGGAACCCGCGGCCGTGGACCACGCCGAGTGCGTGCCCACGGGAAGCCTCGCTCCGTGGGCCTGCACCGCCGTGCTCCCGGTGGGAGCTTCTGCCGACTTCTCGACGTGACGGTGAGAACCGACGGCGACGGTGCCGCCGAGATGGGTTCCCACCGGCACCCTCGAGCCCTGGTGATGCGAGTGCCCTCCCGCGCCTCCCGTTGCATCTTCCGGCTTGTCGACGGCGCGGTGGGCACCGGTGCCGACGGTGCCACCGGCGTGCGTTCCCACGGGAACCCTCGCTCCGTGCGTCGGCGTCCGCTGATGATGCGACTGCGTCCCCGTAACTCCCGTCGCCTCTTCCAGCCTGTCGACCGCGCGCTGTGGCAGGACCGTGCCGCCCGTGCCGCCGGAGAGCATCCCCACGGGGATCCTCGCTCCGAGCGTCTGCTGCGGGTGGGAACCCGTGCCCGCCGGCGTTTCGGCCGTCTTGTCGGCGACACGCTGCTGCGCACCCGTGCCGACGGCCCCTCCTCCGGACGGCGCCGATGCCGCCGCGGCCAAGGGGCTGCCGGCGCCCAATTGCGTCTGCCCCGCGTGGTGCACGGCAAGCACCGAGCCCCTCGCCGCCAGCGTCCCCGTCGCCACAGCGGCGGCACCGGCGTCTGGAGGCAGGGCGGCGCCGCGGACCCCGGTCAGCGGCGCGGTGCCGATGGGCAGCATTGCGCCGGTGGCGGAGCCGGAGGCCGTGCCGGTGCTGATGGGTCCTCTGTGTAGGGTCCCCACCGCCAGGCCTGTGCCGCCAGACATCTCCTGCAGGAAACCGATTTGTACATTCTGTGAGCTTTGGTCGTTATCATCAGCGTCGGTCGTGATCTATCCGCGGCTGGATAAGGGTCTCTCCCAGACGCCGCAATCTTGCACTGCCCTGCGATGCAATACAATCCATCTGGCACCTGCATGCAAGCGTATTTCATCAATTTCATCTCTGCGGTGGGCGTTCTTATGAGCATGTTCTTGATTTTGGCTTTCATTCCGTCGATCGTCTCGACCACCAGCTTTGCAGGAGTGCGTGGGTTCCATCCCGACCCTGACGCTTGCTGTATATTTGGAGTTTGCGTGTCTCTCTCCCCGTGGTTGCGTGCATTTTTTCTCCGGGTCCTCTGTTTTTTCCCCCCTCCACACTTGCCTACATTAGCAGTCAATACGATGTCTCTAACTTGCATATGTGTTATTATTGGCTTTGTCATTAGCTATTTCCAGATTGGATGATATCCAAATTGCGTGCAATGGAGTCATGCCATGAAATGAAGAAGCACCCCTCTGGGATGATAACAACAGCCAGCTGAGCATTACTCTGTGTCAGGGAACAGCCCCCAGATGATGACATCGCAGAACTACTTCTGGACTCGGTTCAATGGGTGCCTCATGTGCAGCAACATTGGATTTCACACGTTACCCTCTCCCCACGATATATACTTACAATTTAATTCGCGAGGAATTTATTTTGGGTCTCATTTTTACTGTACCGTCCCAAATAACATTATCGTGCCGTGCAATTTGCGTAAGTGGTAAACAATCGATTCCACCACGCAGTGGACTCTATGCGTGTATCATAATACGAATTGACTCTCATCAAAGACTCAAAAGCATCGTCACGTACTCTCTGCTCGACAGCTCTAAGGAATATCCACTGGGTTTCAGTCCTTTTATTTATTTATTTACATATACAAATGTTCACGCATTGCATGACATTCATCTATTTAATAAATGTTGTTCATCAGAGTTGGAATATAATTAGGAGTATGAACGTTATTTTCTTTTGCCAGGTTTCACGATGACCACGTCACGAAACGCGCAAGAACGATTCTGTCCAGTTGACAAGTCGCTTTTAATCGCGGATGGTCCGACCGCCTTCGGAGGTCATGCTCTCTCCGTCAGTGCGAGTTGCGACTTGCTCTGGCACAGGTGCTCGGGCAGCCTCTGAGTCACCCCTCGACCCGCATTCATTTTAGCCCAGTGCGCCGTTGCGCTTCCGTTGAGAGCCGCCGTGAAAAAAGATGTAAGGGGGGAACGTTAGGAGGAATGGCCAACACAAATGTTTTGCCTCTCCTCGGTGATTCCATTCAGGGCTTTGTTTGGTCGGCCAACCAAACCAGTAGCCACGCTTTCTTGTCAGTACTCATTACACGAAAATAATCAAAACAATACAGAGGCGTATCCACGGAGGCCATGCTCTACACGGCTCGCCTCCAAATCGTTACAACTCCAGCCAACGCATTATCGTTCATTGTGATTATTATTATTATCATTTAATGTTAAGTCGACGGCGTCAGACCATATTCATTTTTTTTAAATGGCCTCTGCGGCAAAAAGTGGCCTGAGCTTCCTCGTTGTGACTAATTATACGGTCGGTTATTCGGCCCCACGTCCCCTGCCAAGGGAACTGCGCAACAGCAATAACGCTGAACAGTGCTAAAGCTGTGCTCAGTGCCGATTTGGAAAGGCATCCGGAGTGTGCCGCAGCATCAAATATAGACGACGTCGTGCGTGCGCAAGCGTACACGTCGGGGGTCCATCCGTGCGCGGCCGCGTTAGTGAAATACGTTTTAACGACAAATAAGCATTCCGCGCGACGAACGTAACCCTCGGCGATTATAATCCGCGTGTCGCCGGGGATGGGTGGTCGGAAGCACAGGCACTGCTGGAGGTGGAACAGAAGTCGAAAGGTGCATGGACAGAGATGCATGCTGGGAATTGCATTTTTGGGACCGAGATAGGAAGACGAGCGTCAGAGGACAAGCACAGATTAGTCACATCACACTGAGCGTTAATAAAAGTTGAGTGATCCTGGGCAGGACACATCATGGCTAGCACGGATGATGGACAATGGATGATGGCCAGTCAATAAAGGGAGCACACCCTCTAAGTACGATCATCGCAAGGGTTGATGACATAGGTTCATGTGCTGCAGTGAGATGGATTATGGTATGGTATGTATGTTGAACTTCTTTCGCACCGTACGTAGTGAACCGCGCTAATCAGAGGTGCGGGGAAAGGACAACAAACTAAACACAAAAAGCATTGCAAGACTCTGCGAAGTGACGATATGGAGAAGCCTTTATACAAGGGTGGACAGAACGTGGCGAAGGATGATAATGATAATAATTCCTGACCATTGAAATTCCGGAACTGTTCCAAGTTAAAAAGTCAGCCTCTCAAATAAGCATGGGGGCAGCACTCTTCTCATGTTTACAGCGTTGAGCCAGTGAGGATCATTGCACATTCCTATAGTGGCGGTAAGCGCATCAACGGGGAAAATGTAGTTGACGTCCCACGAATTGCTATTTATTTAAAACCCCTAGAGGGGTGATGAGTAATTCCTTCCAACCACTGCAACACCACACAGGATAACACTTGAAAAATGGCAACGTTTAGTAGTAAGAGTAACAGTATAGTAACGTTCATTAATATGCATGATCAGTGTCTTGGTTAAAGAGGTATACCATTGGTGTACCTGTCACTGTGGACTATGGCGCTATGGACCCTGCAACCCGTGTTTGATTCATGGCCACGGCTAACATCACTGGCAGAGTGAACTGAACCTGGTTACCTCCTTCACCAAACCGCTCTCGCCAGCATGGTGAGGTCTGGCCAAACAACACCTGTGACCGATACGGCGGGTTGTTTGACTAGCAAGTGTAATTACAAAGGCTGTAAATCGTGGTTAAAAATATGAAGGCATTCTGAAAAAAGGCTGAGGTCATTAATTATATATTTACATACTTATTATGAAAAAAGGCCTTTTGCATAGCAGTACCCTGGAGTATGATCATAAAATCTAAACTGGCTCTACCTCCCGGACCGAATTAAACCACAGCGGCCCAAGCGCTGTTATTAAATTAGCCCACGGATGTTCTGACAGCTTCGCGTGCGGCTGGCCAGCCATGCTGGACCGTCAAACAGAGAGACAATTGGCCACCCCGCCTCCTTGGATACAAAGCATGGCTCGCACTCGACCCAATCCACGAGGGTGATGTTGCTGCCAATAACGGCGAGCCGCATTTTTTTTTACAATTCAATTCAAATGTAACAATTGCGGCGGGCACGTGGTGAGCTCTGGTGCCTCCGTTGGCTGCAGGGGGGTCACGCGAACCCCGTTACATAGAAGACGCACACGGATCGAGAAACGCCGGTTCTTGCCAGACAATCGATGATTGATCGACGCATTGGTCCACACCTCGTTGACACCCTGTATGACTAACAATGATCATACATGCAAGGGGGCATTTCTAGGTGGCAAAAGGGTGTAATCATGACCCCCCCCCCCCCTCCAGGTTTCTGTCGCTCCCCAACTCCGACCAGGCCTATAACAACACCTCCTTATCAACCCCTCTAGCTTTACTGTATAACAAATACTGTACACCACCACTTACAATAACTAAATTCTTAATTTCTAATTCTTATCATGCTATGTACAATTGTATCATTTCTGTAAAGCACCTTTGTAAAGGCTCTATATACATCTCATTAGGATAAGATAGACGTGATCTTATCATCATCATCATCATTCCATGCATGTCACATGACATCACCATACTTTTGTGTATGGCTTCGATATCGATGACTAAAGTGGCTTCCTACGCCATCCACGAGCTCGTTCCCCGGGTGCCGTCACCAGGACTTCAATTGTGGCCGGAGTCTGTCCAAGTCGGTGGATCCAGAATAGTTTTTGTTTTATTCCCGCGCACAGAACACATCAGATATACCACTCGCTCCACTTTTGGCTACAAGTCACGTGCCTACTCCCGTCTACCGGTGGCCCGCAAAAAATATTCCCGTGAGAAATGTAAAGCTCACCCCCCACCACCGCCCCCGCCCCCCCCCCCAACTTTCGCCAACCGTTCCGTCTCTTCGGCGAGCGAGCGGTGGCAGCAGCGGCTTAGCGAGCGGCGCACCCACCATGTCCACGGACGAGTAGTAGAGGCGGAATCCCGGCTTGGCGGGGAAGTACTCGTCGGAGCGAAAGCGCACGAGCAACTGGTTCGACTTGGAGATCTGCTTGCCGCTGGGCGCCTTGGCCCCGCACCACCGGCCCCGCACGCTGCTGGCTCCGTCGGCCACGTCCTCCACCTCCACATAGTCGTACCTGCGCGCCCGGCACGCCGCCAACATTTCCCGCACCTCCGATTAGCACGGTTGGCTCCGTACGGCGCGTTATAAGTGCCACAATACATACGTGCGGACATTCACTCCACCGTGTGAACCGGGGACTGGACGCTAGCCGTGTTAGGGCTGCACGTGGGATGGTGCCTCCCGCCAGTGGCGATTCGAGGAGTCGCCTGACTGTGACGACGCTAAAGTGCATTGCACCGCTTGCATCACTGATCATTGTGGCCCGATGCTCGTTTCTATTGGAATGGAATTCATCAGACGACCACAGAATAGCGTTAGAAACTCAACGTGTGTTTTATAAACTCGTTCGTTATGGTTTGCAAATGCCGTATGAAAATAATAAAAAAAACACACTGGGTTTCATGCAGTGGAGTAGTGTGGTTAGGAATAACATGGAGCTCCCTGTCCCATTTTGCCCAAATCTTTTTGTGGCTTAGCTCCTCGACACCTCTGACCCATGGGCCCGGGCGCAGTTGCACCATCTGCACTCTCGATAGCTACGCGACTGCCAGTGATGCAAACTCTTTAAATTGGACCTAACCAAGCCACTAGGTGTTGCTCGATAAATCTTCTGAAGTCTTCAAAACTGTCACTAGACAATGCATCACGTATTAAACACGTACAGTAAATTGGTACAGGACGCTCGACGCAGAATATGGCAGGAATTGCTCCTAAATGTACATGAAATCGTCCCTGAAAGTCGCTACATTTGTCGCTGTTTGCTCTGAGAAAATTCTGGCGGTAGGTAACCCAATGGTTTGCCAGATCCTCCGACAAAATCTCTGCGTTGCCAAATCTGCCCACGGGGCTCCGCGTTGCGCGGCAGGGGGGATGAAATGCCTTCTCGGCGAGTCGCTCGGGCGTGGCGCGGACTGAGCTCCGTCGCTCGATCCCGGGCAGGGTGAATGGTTCGGGACGGGAGGGGTGGGGGGACCCCCCTTTGCTTTACGCTGACAACAAAAACAAACGAGCGAGCCGTGGGACCCTCGTGAACCCCGCCCGTGCGCCCGCACGTCCGCTCGCGCGCTACAGATGGCGTGCGCCCGACTCCCGTGCTCTCTGCTCCCCCTGCCCCCGGGGTGTTTTTTTGCGAGTGCCCCTTGTTGCCCTTTGCCCTGGCATGCGCACTTAGGGCCATATAGAGGCACGGAGTGAAAGCCCACCCTCCCCCCCTGTAATCGGAGGACTGCATCTGATGCCGCTCGTTCCCCACACTATACCTCGGCCCTGATCCCATTACCCTCTCCGTTGCCACCCCCGAGCTCCTCCCGCTCGCTGTCCCAAAACGACACCGGTTGCCGAGCCGAACCCACGCCTTTTCTCCGAACGCCAACGCGACAACTGGCACTTTAAGTTTTTGCCACCAGCTGCCGTTCCCCATTGTCGTGGCGATGGTGATGACTGGGGACGTGCAGAGCGAGCTGCGCGATCACGGTGGTCACGAGAGCCACTCGTGGCACTCATCGTGCAGTCAAAACACACGAAACGAAAAAAAAACGTATTGCCGGATTATCCATCTGCCATTCTCCCACCACTGCTGAATGGAGGCAAAGGATCCTGCCAATTGGCATGGGGCCCACTTCCGAATTCTGCCCTGAGGCCCAGTTGGCCCCAGAGGCAGCTGGGATGGAGCGAGAGGGCACTCTGCTTAAGCACGTGACAACGAATACTGGAGAGGAGAGCGGGAAGGCTCTTTGCGATGCCACCAATTTAAATGTCAACAATGTTATGTATTGTTGAATCGTGGCGGGGGGGGCAGTGTCATTCTGAGCCCCTCTCTCTGGCAAGGCACCCTTAGCCGGGTGCCTCAAAAACATCAAGTTGTTTCTTGTGTGCCTTGGCTGATTTGCTTTTAAACGATAAACTAAGACGTTGAATACTCTTTGGTTCTTTTGGCAAAGTCACGTAGGTGAAAAAAAGAAAACTTCACCGAAAGAACCAAAGAGTATGGATCCTTGCAGTCACGAAAACTTCAAATCTAGAATAAGGCGTTGAAATTTACGCTTTAATTGTTCGATGCTGCAGACCATTAGACACAGTGTAGAGCACCTGCAGCTACCTCCATACTCAGAGCAGCGGTCCCAGGCTCGGCACTAGCGACTGAGCCACACAATCTGTTCTGCAACAAACTGGCAAGCCAGGGAGTTAAGGGAGCCTTCGTTTCGTAATGCATTTCCCGTGCGCTTGCATCCATTAATAGCAGTGCACGCACTGGCAAATGCCCTCAAACACGTGAATACAAATCGAACTGGCATGCAGCATAACGTGAAATGTTTACGTATTTTTTAAATTCAATTTCAAACCCAATGTTGCCCATAAACACCCCAGGCATGAGCACCGTTCCTTGGCGAACTGTATTGAATGTTGGAGCGAATGTTTTAGGGAGTTTGTAGTTTTCGTGAAAACGCGTGAGGTGTTCACCGACAGATGGATTGACCAGCAAACGAACAGATTGACAGATTGACAGACGTCGGGATGAACATGACGCTCCTTGGGCATTGCACTGAGTATCCCATCGGCTCCCTAAACTAGGAGGGGGCATGAAGAGGCGACAGGGAAGGCCGCCGCCCCTGAGATCTCCGGTGCCGCCCGTACTTGCACACGCTGTGCTCGGGCTCCTCCAGACCAAATCTTTCGTCGAAGCCGAGCTGAATTCGCGCGCCGGCCTTGGCCAGGAGCCGCCACTGCAGGGCCAAGCCGCGCGGGTAGCCCAACGGGAAGCGAGGGCTCTGCAGGAATCCGTCACCCAGCACGTACACCGTCTCCTCGGCAACGCCATCTGCAGCGACGGCACAAAAATCAAAAACAAAACAGCGCGTCACTTAAAAGGGAGACGCAGAGCAGACAACAACGGGTTCACAGTGCCCTCGTCAATCCGCCGATGGAAGAGGCTCGCGCCCGTGTCGGCCGTGGGGGTTTGGTTGGCCATACTTTTCCACGCTCCTCTGTGCGGGTTGGCGAAGGGATGGGCCTCAGGGCCCGTACAGATGTTGCTCAACGCTGATGTTATCCTTGGTGCGGGGAATGAACCAAGGTCTCTCGGTGCAGTGTGTGCTAACCACTGCATCAACCACTCCACCACAATAAGCATGTTATCTTATCAATACATCCCTAGGCTGTGTGTCCCAGACTCTCTGACCCGTGTTTAAAGCCGAGATTATTAGAAAAAAAAGGCTTTAAAGTTAAGGTCAAGAGTCATATTATGGCACTCTCCTGTGATCCCCCACCACCATGCATTTTAACAATGTTAATTCTAGGTGTGTGATAACGCATCAATCCATCGACTAAAATGTCTTATCACACCTGGGATACACGCATCGAATTTTGCGTGCAAGAAATCCATTATTTGCAATGCATAACAGAGAAACGAATGATATGCTAATGTGTTACCGTATATATAGGGTAATGCAGCAAATACAATTGTACAGGTGGGATATAGAAACTGAGAAACTATACAAAAAGACAGTAACAATTTAGCGAAAATAAATACTTTAATCGAACCACAATTCATGCAATCACTGAGGGTTTCTATCCAGTTAATGGGGTGCCATCGTGATGGCACTTTGAGAGAGGGTCTGACGCGAGATTTTAAAACCCCGTCCCAATTATTGAAACTTCAAACTCAAGTCGGACATCCCGAGGCTCCACAGCAAAGGTTGGTATGACAGCATGAGGGCTATTTGTATTTTTGTTTTGGTGGCGTATCCCATTTAAAACTGGGAGACCATCACGATGAACTGACTAAAGGAGGGGGGGGGGGGGTAGGATTTGTGGTACTCTACCAAACTCTGTTATTAAATCGATGATAAAACCACATTCGCCAATTAATTCCCGGGCCCCACATATTTTCTCCGTCGCTGCTGCCACATTCACTTACTTGAAATTAAATATGGCTCAAGTCCCTCAAGATTTCCAGCACTTACAGTGACGCCACGTTATAAGACAAGACTACACACACGCGCATACCACACAAGTCTGCTGGCATCGTGCCTGTTTGGTTCAAATGAAATCCCTGCCTGTCTTTGGTGATTTTTTTTGTTGTTGTTGAAATAATTGCGTGGGGCGGTTGATTTTCTTTGTCTACTTCTTTTACTCCTCCTTATTCCACGCTGCCTTCTCTTTCAAGCAAAGCGAAGTTGGATTTCGCACACCGTGCAAAAGAAACACAATGAAAGGAAAGTCGAGAAGACCTGTTTAATAACAACCAGGGCTGTCGGTGATACAAGAATAATTTCAACGGCCACAACAGCGACGAGGAATATTGAATTTACAAAAAAAATATTTTGGCTGCTGGCAAAATCTCCGCGTAAAGGAATGAGGAACATTCAGCGTGTCGCCCCTTTCACAGCCACAAAGAAAAGTCTCAAATTAAATCGTTGTACACCTGCGCAGATTTAGCGGCCCTGCCTTGGGCTAGCACCGCAGGTAAGTGCGCCCTGTGAATCTGGCAGCAGTGGACTCCGAACGGAATTGGAATGAGGATTTATTTTTTTAAGATCGCGAGACACTGCACCGATGTTCCCTGAAGCCTCGACAAGCTGAGAAGGAATGCGTCCAGTGTTTAAGTGGACTTGACAACCAGGTGACAGCCATTTGAGACAAAAGTCTCTTCTGATAGGTCCATCAGGCTTGCAAAACAGAAAAAGTGTGCTTTAGGTGTAAAAAAAAAACCGCAATCGTTAGGATAAGAACTAAATCGTAGCGTATGATAAAATTAACCGTGTGAGAATGAACTGATGGAGCAGTGGCACGGTGGCTGGCACGCTGCACTCTGAACTCGGTAACCTGCGGTGGTTTGTGCCATCTTACCCGATCCTGAGCACCCCCCTTCATCCAGCAGTGGATGAACAAAGAGGCTGTAAAATCACTTGGGAAGACAACAAGCATACAAACACCGGCACTTTCAGCCGCGCCTTGCTCCCCGAGCAAATCGGAGTGCGCCAACGCAGCGTGGACGGTGATGGCGGCGTCTCGGCCGGCCGCCCTCGTGAGTACGCCACGCGTGCCGTGTGTTCACGTGACGCTCGTATTTTATTGCGTCCAAGTCCCGAATGTTCAGGCGATGTTTTCTCGACTGAACATTCGGAACTGCGGTCGCAGATGAGTTTTCATTCATTCAGCGATAGCATCCCCAGTGGCCGCGCGTGGTCCTCGTAAATTCTAGATTGAAAACGAATTTCCATAAGAACTGATTTTTAAAAATCTCTTTCTCCGCCTCTTTAAATTCTTAGTTGGTTGTCCTTCCACCCCCACCCCCATCGCACAACTCCGACGAGCACGGCTGGCTCCGTACGGCGCCAAACAAGTCCAACAGGCGTGCTCACACACACAGAGACGTCCGCTGAACTTATCCGATCGTCGACAAAAGCGCGACGTCCGCAGCGGTGCGGGTCTCGTCACGAAGACTCCGCCACTCCACCCCACGGTGGAGGCTGGCCGCGCAGAGACTCTGCCCTGCGTCTCTGGCACGCGTCGAGCGAGGCGCCACTGACGGCTTGGCACGATGCAGGCAGGCGGACCGACTCGGCGTTGTTGCTTTCAGCTGCTGATTAATCAGCCCCCCCCCTCCCACCCCCGGGTGGCTCGCGATGAATGGGAGCTCCCAGTTTGCGATGTTGGTGTGGATGTTGCCGCTTGAAGCTGTCGCCTATACGCTGGGGAGCCACCCCCGGACGCTCGGTTCCTTGAGGAAACGGCACTTAACACACTGACGCCTCCTACTCCTCCTCCTCACTTAACACTCTGACGCCTCCTACTCCTCCTCCTCACTTAACACTCTGACGCTACAAATGCACGCACCGTACTGATCATACAACAGTCATCGTCATCATCAGCCACTGGCCTATCCGCTGCCGGATGAAGATATCTCCACGACGGCTTGCATCCGTCACGCTCCTGCGATGCCACGGTTCATCGATTGTGTCAACTCTATCGTCGTGGTGGTTGTCTTGATGGTCGCCGAGTCGCATTTCCCTGCCATTCCGTCGCCAGTCTCACCGAACTGGCCGTCATCCCCCTGCAGCGAATTGTCGTGCCCAAAGCCCGAGTCCGATACGCGTTGCCACGTGTTTTCCGCTCCCCGTGTCGCGGCGTAAATTCAAGTACAGTGTTCATTGTGTCTCTGTTTCTGTGTGCACTTTTAAGCTTTTGTTGCATTTCCTCAAGAACAAATAGGCAATAAGAGTAGAGAGCTAACTTTCTTTTTTTAAAGAGCCTGTATGAACAACGATTGTACCTCCACGGGCTTTCCCAATCGTGAGGCCGGTCCCTTCTATGCGAGGCCGAAGGGTGAATTGGGGGTGTTACACCGTTATTCTGTGCGCAGCTAAAAAGCACATTTTATTTCTAACTTTCAACAAAAAAAACCGTCGCGTTTTGTTATTTTTATGAGCCCCCTTCACCACCCCAACCCCTAACTTCACCCCCCCCCCGCCCCCCGGGGGCTCCCCGCCGCCCCCTCCTCCTCCACCCCCCCGTCTGTCGTGTTGTCTTACAACGCCCAGAACTGAACACATCCAAAAAAATTCCATTGCAGTTGACCACGAGTCGAGACACATTTTGGAAACTCGTGCTCAGTGTAATTTCCAACCACAAGAACTTGACATTGACACTGCCCGCAGTCATTCCAACCGTGTAATACAAAAGGATACTTTGATGCTTGAATAGTCAAGTACTGTTCCCACATTGCTTAGTTTATTCGCCTGATTAATATCCCCCGAGATGCATTTGCGTCTTTAGGTGCAGCTGCATTTTGATTCCATACAAAAAAACTAATATTGTATTTGCATCACTTTCTCAGGTGAAAGTCGATTAAAATCACAGACTCATTCGCAGGATTGTGATTGCTATGATAAAACGATTATTCTCGCTATTGTATGTCGTGAGAAGAATCGTCCCACTGAGCTATGATGTTGGCATGCAATGGCTTATTCCAGAGAGTGGTGAAGTCATTGCGTTTTAAATTCCCTGTGTTGTGGTGAATTTCCGCAGACATGGCTTAATGATTACCATTGCTTGCAGACTTAAGAAGTTAATACTATTAGTTATAGTTACAGTATTACTATAGTTATTACGACATAATTTTATGCTACAGAAATACGGCAGGCAAACCTCGTGGTAAATATAAATATAACATTAAGCTAGAAGCAGACCCATTGGTTGATGCATGCGAATGTTATTTTGTTTGACAATCAAACAAACCTTTGCCTGTTTATCATTATTGTTATTATTATTTTAGCGCATAACCATGCAATGAATATTGTTTCGTAGCATTTCCGTTAAGCGATGTTGCAGCAAATACGCAGGGCCATTGAGACACTGCAGGGAACATTGGCAACAAAAGTGCCGTTGTTTTTATCGTTGTAGCAACTCTGCAGAATCAAGATCGGATGCAAAGGTGCATCTTTGCAATTGCTTTACTCACACCACTGCTGGCAGAAGGGCCTTCACTCGAGGGTGTGTTTGGCCTACTCTTCAATGCTACTGGCCAGACATTTTTCAGGAGGTCGGGAATACCCACACTTCACCCCACCATACGCAACCTGCCGACAGACCAGCTGTGGTGTTCCCAGTTGTACTGCTGGCTGTACATAGGCTGGGGGATTTGAGAAACTTGCCCATTGTTTGCTGTATTGAGGGACCAGACTGGTGACTTCTGGATTGTGAGTGCGGTGTGCCAATCATTACACTCTGGCAGCATGCCGAGAATGAATGTGCGATCTCTCTCAAAAGGAGATTCTTCAATGGGATGCTATGAATTAAGGTCCGTAAATGAACTCC